GCCGGTGGCTCACGCCTGTTTCCGCTTTTTGGGGCGAGCCGGCCGGTGATCTGCGTCAGGAGCTTCCGCGTGACAGGTGCACATTCAACTACTACACACAAAATCAGCCCAAAACAAAGGTGGCACACAATCTGTAATCCCAGTTGCTTGGCGAACAGACAGTTGGCAGTGACACACCAGAATCACTTCGAACCTGGCACACAACAGGTTGTAGGGAGCGAAACACCACTGCACCCAGCCTCGGCCTGATAGCCCAGCCAAACCTCAGTCAATCAAAAAGAAAAAAAAGGTAGCCCAAATTTTACTAGATGCTGAGTCACAACCATTTGGAAACGTAACATGTGATAGGAAGAAGACTGGAGAAGAAACTACATCCTTACCGGTTGCATAGATTTTGTTAGATAGAATAGAATGTTCCAGCACATTTTTTTCTGTATTACTTCGATTCTGCATACGTCCCAACTTTTCTTAAATGGCAAACACATCTTCTTCGTATAATCAGGGAAAGGAAAAGAGAAAGTATATAATGTCTTCTCTTTACACTCCATCTGTCCTACTCCCTATCACTCTCTCGCGGCTTATTTCATTTCTTTCCTTCATTTTTTTTCTTTGAGATGAGTTTCGCTCTTGTCCACCCAGGCTGGAGTGCAATGGCCCGATCTCGGCTCACTGCAACCTCTGCCTCCTGGGTTCAAGCGATTCTCCTGTCTCAGCCTCCCGAGTAGCTGGATTACAGGCATGTGCCCCCACGTCCGTCTAATTTTGGATTTTCAGTAGAGACGGCGTTTCTCCATGTTGTTCAGGCTGGTCTCAAACTCCTAACCTCAGGTGATCTGCCCACCTGGTCTCCCAAAGTGCGGGATTACAGGCGTGAGCCACTGCACTGGCCAGACTTCACTTCATTCTTAATTCTGAGAAAGTTCAAAAATGTCTAGTCCATAAGAAATTGGAGGGGGTGGGGATCATGAGGAGAATTGAATTCCAAAGGTGCGGTCAGGCTGCCTTGTCTAAGTCATCCTCAGCCAGGATCTTATGCCTGGTTTAGAGTATTTTTTCGAGAATTCCTACTGATGGGGAAGGAATCAGCCCTGCTGAGAAGCGGTCCTCTCTTGCAGGGTCTGAGAGGCCACCTCTGTGATACCAAGTGAGGAGCGAGCTCATTCCCAAAAGACATCCAGACAAAGGAAGCGTCTCACTCAGCATCCCCGATTCCCGGGGGAGAAGCCTCATTTCCATAATACCGTGTTCAGAGGACCATCTGAGTTTTGGGAAACAGGGATAGGGAAATTATTGGAAAATGAACGTTAGAAAAATTCACACTCTGGGGTAAGCTGTCTGTCCACAGGTTCCATTTATGTTCCTTACGCCCACCGTGGGGAACCACAACAACTGACCGAAGGACAGGCCTAGGGATCCTCTCGAATTCCCGACCTCAGGTGATCCACCCGCCTCGGCCTCCCAAAATGCTAGGATTACAAACATGAACCACGGCTCCCGGCCCAGAATTTCTTTTTTAGCCCACATTTTTCTAGTGAAAATAATATAGCAACACTATGTGGAAAGCCTGAAAAACAGAAAAACAGAATCTCATAGTCCTGCTTTCTCCCCCAGCTGGCGGCATTAATAACAATGTGTGTAGTGCACATTTCCTTTCTGCATTTTGCATGCAGAGCGTGTTTTAAAGTTGCCATCAGTGTTCATAAAACTCTTGGCTCTTCCTTTTTTGTACACAAGTACATTGTAATCATTCACCTTGCGACGACACAACCAGCATTAATCATCGTTTCAATGGTTGTTTGATGTGTGGTGGTGAAAACTCTAACAGAATTAATCCTCTTCTCTGGGTCATTTGTGTTCCTGACACATTTGCGGTCATGAATAATCCCATCATGAATTCTTCCATGCTATAACTTTTTCCTGCTTTAATAATTTTCTTAGGATAGATGCCCAGAACTGGGATTATTGGGTCAAAGGAAATGAGAATTACTTTGGCTCCTGACACTATGTCTCAGTTGCCTTCTGGAGGTTTGTAACAGTGCAGCTCTGCCAGCAGTACAGGCCCGGGGCTCGGGGATACCTCACCGGCTCTTGTTCCAAGAGTCGCTAAATGACCAACACAAAGCTGCCCCAGCCCTCAGCCTGCTCTGGAGGGGCGCATTTGATGTATGACCTCTGTTGACAGCACTGGCAAAGCAAGTCGCCCTTAAACCCTTAAACCCTGTATCCCCCTATATTATCTTTCAGCCCCACAAGAGGATGTGGATGAGACCCCCAGCCCCACAGAACCAGGCACAGAGGCCCCAGAGCCCCCTGAGGAGCCGCTCCTGGGGGAGCTGACAGTGACAGGATCCTCCCCTGACTCGCTGAGCCTCGCCTGGACCGTCCCCCAGGGCCACTTCGACTCCTTCACCGTGCAGTACAAGGACAGGGACGGGCGGCCCCAGGTGGTGCGTGTCGGGGGCGAGGAGAGTGAGGTCACCGTGGGGGGCCTGGAGCCCGGACGCAAGTACAAGATGCACCTGTACGGCCTCCACGAGGGGCAGCGCCTGGGCCCGGTGTCTGCCGTGGGCGTCACAGGTGAGTGAGTGTGGGTGGGGCAGGGTCGGAAGACAGCCCTAGAAAATGTGCCCTTCTCTACTATTTTCCTATACATATTTCTGTCTTGATGGGGCTCACATTGAAAGGAATATATCAACATTATGGAAAGGCATGCCATGGAGAGAGAGGCTGCGATCCAGCAAATGAGCAAAGGCCGGTGAGCATATGATAGGGAGGCCCAGGGCTCAGGTCAGGACCAGAGAGGGACGCCTAAGCTACCCTGTCCATGGGTACCCAGGGGACAGCCATGACCTGAGGCCAGGCAGGCCTTAGCTTGGTGACAGCTTTAGAGAGGAGGTGAAGCATGTCAGATCATCACAGCTGGTGCAAAGGCCAGGAGGCTAGAAAGCACAGCACGTGAGAGGCACTGAGGATTGAGTGGGGTGTCCTTTGCAGTGGGTGGATCGTCCTGAAGTGTGGGAGCGGAGGAGGGGACCGCTCACCATGCCTGGGGTTTCCCAGGGATGAGGAGGTGGTTGCTCAGGTCTGTGCTGAGATGGCCCCAGCAGCTGTGCCTGTGTGAAGCTCATCCGTGGGGGCTGAAGATGGGGATGGGGTGACAGGGAGCCTGGAGGCAGGGAGGCCAGTAGGCAGTTGGTGGCCTTGGTGAGAGGTGACAGTGGCCCAAACCAGGACCGGGGACTGGAGGTGGGGGAGGAAGGTATCCAGGGGAATTCAGGGTGAAGATGCTCTGAGACTGCTGGCAGCTGGTGAGGGGCCAGGTCCAGGAACATGCCCCGAGCTCTGGCCTCGGGAGGGGTGTACTGAGTTTGTTGGGGAGCAAAGACAGAAGCCCAGTGAACAAAAGATGGCAAGGAGACCCCAGTGCAGGGAGGCCGAGGGTGCAGAGGCCGAGTGGGGCTGTGCTCAGAAGAGAGGCGGTGCTGGAGGGACAGGGAGAGGTGGCCTGGGTGTTGGGAGGTGGGGGTGAGGTGGGGGCTGAGGGCAGGGGGTCAGGGTGAGGGATAGGAAAGGCCACAGGAGAGGAGAGCAAGAAGAGCTTTCCTGGAGGCGCTGTGGGCAGCATCGTCCTGCTCTCGGGCACTTTGTGTTTTGTGACACATCCTTTCTATGCTGAACTGAGGACCCAGGGACCTCACTGTCCCCATACCTGTCTGTCCAGCTCCAGAGGATGAAGCCGAGACCACCCAAGCAGCGCCCACCACGACCCCTGAGCCCCCCATCAAGCCTCGCCTGGGGGAGCTGACCGTGACTGACGCCACCCCCGATTCCCTCAGCCTGTCCTGGACGGTCCCCGAGGGCCAGTTTGACCACTTCCTGGTCCAGTACAGGAATGGGGACGGGCAGCCCAAGGCGGTGAGGGTGCCGGGGCACGAGGACGGGGTCACCATCTCAGGCCTGGAGCCAGACCACAAGTACAAGATGAACCTGTACGGCTTCCACGGTGGCCAACGCGTGGGTCCCATGTCTGTCATCGGGGTGACGGGTGAGTGAATAGTGGGAGCCACAGGGTGGGAGCTGTGGGAGGGCCACCCTCTTGCTCTTTGGTGATGACTGGTGGGGAATGTGACAGGGGTCTGGTCAGCACCACAGACCTGCTTGTGGCTGGAGCTGGGGCTCCCCTTGGGCCTTCCTGTGAGGTTGACCCCTGGCTCCTCCTGAGCAGGGAGGAGCCATCGGGAGTTTTGCTGTGCTGGTGGCTGTCCCAGGTCCGCCACAGCTGACCCTGGAACTTGTCATGTGTGTTAGCTGTCAGCTGAGCAGGACCCCCCAGCCCCAAGAATGGGCTGTTCTGAAATGACCTCACGTACCCAGTAGTGGCCGTGGTTTCTCCCTCCTTCCCCTGAAGACCTGAGCACATCACCCAAGGACCTGGCATCCTCTCTATATCTCCTTTTCTCAGCTGCAGAGGAAGAGACCCCCAGCCCCACAGAACCCAGCACAGAGGCCCCAGAGCCCCCTGAGGAGCCGCTCCTGGGGGAGCTGACAGTGACAGGATCCTCCCCTGACTCGCTGAGCCTCTCCTGGACCGTCCCCCAGGGCCACTTCGACTCCTTCACCGTGCAGTACAAGGACAGGGACGGGCGGCCCCAGGTGGTGCGTGTCGGGGGCGAGGAGAGCGAGGTCACCGTGGGGGGCCTGGAGCCCGGGCGCAAGTACAAGATGCACCTGTATGGCCTCCACGAGGGGCGGCGCGTGGGCCCGGTGTCTGCTGTGGGTGTGACAGGTGAGTGTTTGTGAGTGAAGCAGGGTGGGGAATATGGCCTTAGAAGATGTTGCTTTCTCTGCAACTTCATGAAAACAAAAATATTCTCACCAGTCGGGCTTCTTTTGCACGTTTCTATGCTTGGGGATCTTGCTAAGAGGCAGATTGGGGTTCAACAGGTTTAGGCTAGGGCCAGAGATTCTGCATTTCCAACAAGAAATGATGCAGATGCTGCTGGCCCGTGATCACGCCCCTTGAGTAGCAAAGTTCCTCACGACCAAGGAATTGGACCCTCTTTTGAAATCTGTTGAAGAGAATTTTTCTGCGTCCCTGATTCCTGGTAGGGTGCTTTCTCTGTGGAGTTGAGTGGGGGCCGTGAAGGAAGACAGAAGGCAGTGAGGGGCAGCGTGTTGACTGTGCACTCTGAAAGCCCACCATTGGAAGAGGAATAGGAACAGACCTTTCCCTCCAATGGGCCAATCTGTTCATTCAGCAAAGAATTCCATGCCCTGATCCAGGCACTGTAATTTTAGGGTATCAATGTCCTCTGGCCAACGACCTCCAGAAACTCACCAAAAATTGAACGGATGGAGTTATGCTCCGTGCAGTGCAGGACGACTGTGGGGTGACTCAGGAAGAGGCTTTAGAAAGAGATTGTTAAGGAACTGGGCTTGTGGTGGTATTTTGGGAAAGCGTTTAAGGAAGCAAGGTTTTGCTCTGTATTAGATGCTGTCAGGAAGAAGGGATAGCCCTGTTACCAGGCATCTCACTAAGTCTTATCTTTGCGGGGGTCAACTAGAGCAAGGCCAAAGCTGCCATTGGTAAAGAAGCAACTATCACTCAGATTAGCTGGATGGGTGATGTTTGGTTATTTTTGTGCTTTGGAAAGTGTTAGAGTTTGTCTATACTGAGACATGATCACAGACTGGCCTTGTTCTTGCCTTGATCCATCCTACTGACTAACGGCCTAGTCTGATGTTGATGTTCCATGAAATTGTCTGTGTTCAACTGGACCACGCCAAGACCAGACTGTGCCAGGCCAGTCCCAAGCAATCGCGGCCTGGCTGAGGGAAAGGGCAGCTCACGGGTGTCAGGGCTGCTTTTTGCTTTCATAGGCAGAAGCTGGAAAGTGACACACACAAGTTCATGTTTTCATGGGCCTCACAGTTGTGGGCATAAGCGGAAAACCAGAAAGTAAGCAAAGAAGGATGAGCATGTGGAGTCCAGGGGCCAAGCCAGGATTGGGAAGGGACAATGAAGTCACCCTGACCACAAGTACCCGGGGGACAGCCAGGACCTGAGGCCAGGCAGGCCTTAGCTTGGTGACAGCTTTAGAGAGGAGGTGAAGCATGTCAGATCATCACAGCTGGTGCAAAGGCCAGGAGGCTAGAAAGCACAGCACGTGAGAGGCACTGAGGATTGAGTGGGGTGTCCTTTGCAGTGGGTGGATCGTCCTGAAGTGTGGGAGCGGAGGAGGGGACCGCTCACCATGCCTGGGGTTTCCCAGGGATGAGGAGGTGGTTGCTCAGGTCTGTGCTGAGATGGCCCCAGCAGCTGTGCCTGTGTGAAGCTCATCCGTGGGGGCTGAAGATGGGGATGGGGTGACAGGGAGCCTGGAGGCAGGGAGGCCAGTAGGCAGTTGGTGGCCTTGGTGAGAGGTGACAGTGGCCCAAACCAGGACCGGGGACTGGAGGTGGGGGAGGAAGGTATCCAGGGGAATTCAGGGTGAAGATGCTCTGAGACTGCTGGCAGCTGGTGAGGGGCCAGGTCCAGGAACACGCCCCGAGCTCTGGCCTCGGGAGGGGTGTGCTGAGTTTGTTGGGGAGCAAAGACAGAAGCCCAGTGAACAAAAGATGGCGAGGAGACCCCAGTGCAGGGAGGCCGAGGGTGCAGAGGCCGAGTGGGGCTGTGCTCAGAAGAGAGGCGGTGCTGGAGGGACAGGGAGAGGTGGCCTGGGTGTTGGGAGGTGGGGGTGAGGTGGGGGCTGAGGGCAGGGGGTCAGGGTGAGGGATAGGAAAGGCCACAGGAGAGGAGAGCAAGAAGAGCTTTGCTAGAGGCACTGTGGGCAGCATCGTCCTGCTCTCGGGCACTTTGTGTTTTGTGACACATCCTTCTATGCTGAACTGAGGACCCAGGGACCTCACTGTCCCCATACCTGTCTGTCCAGCTCCAGAGGATGAAGCCGAGGCCACCCAAGCAGTGCCCACCGCGACCCCTGAGCCCCCCATCAAGCCTCGCCTGGGGGAGCTGACCGTGACTGACGCCACCCCCGATTCCCTCAGCCTGTCCTGGACGGTCCCCGAGGGCCAGTTTGACCACTTCCTGGTCCAGTACAGGAATGGGGACGGGCAGCCCAAGGCGGTGAGGGCGCCGGGGCACGAGGACGGACAAGTACAAGATGAACCTGTACGGCTTCCACGGTGGCCAGCGCGTGGGTCCCATGTCTGTCATCGGGGTGACGGGTGAGTGGACGGTGGGAGCCCAGGGTGGGGCCTATGGGAGGGTCCCCCTTTCTCTGGTGATGGGTGAACTGGCCCAGGAAGCCCCTCTGCTCTTGGCTGAGCCTTGGTACCTTTGTGCTTTTCCCCACTTCCCTGAGGACTGACAGGTCTTCCTGGGTGGAGAAGGGCCCTGTGAGCTCTGTTGGTGGCTGTCCCAAGTTCCCCAGCACTGATCTCAGAGCTTGTCATGTGTGTTGACTGCAAGCTGAGCAAGACCGCCCAGCTTCAAAGATGGGCCTCTCCAGGCTGACCTCCGGACCCCCATTCTTGGCCACAACTTCGCTCTCCTTCCCCGCAAGCCTCAAGGACATCCCCCAGGGAAGCTGGCTCACTTTCTCTGTCCCCTCTTCTCAGCTGCAGAGGAAGAAACTCCCACCCCCACAGAACCCAGCACGGAGGCCCCAGAGCCCCCTGAGGAGCCGCTCCTGGGGGAGCTGACGGTGACAGGATCCTCCCCTGACTCGCTGAGCCTCTCCTGGACCGTCCCCCAGGGCCGCTTCGACTCCTTCACCGTGCAGTACAAGGACAGGGACGGGCGGCCCCAGGTGGTGCGTGTTGGGGGCGAGGAGAGCGAGGTCACCGTGGGGGGTCTGGAGCCCGGACGCAAATACAAGATGCACCTGTACGGCCTCCACGAGGGGCGGCGCGTGGGCCCGGTGTCTGCTGTGGGTGTGACAGGTGAGTGAGAGTGAGTGAGGCAGGCTGGGGAAGATGGCCCTGGAAGACACTGCTGTCTCTCCAGTCTTCGTGAAAACACACTCTCAAGAGTATTCCTTCCTTTGAGTATCCAAATGCCTGCAGATTTTTGTTAAAAGGCAGATTTGGATTCAGCAGGTTTGGCGTAGGGTCAGAGACTCTTCTTTTCTCTTCTTTTCTTTCCCTTTTTTTTTTTTTTGGAGTCTCACTTTGTCACCCAGGCTGGAGTACAGTGTCTCAATCTTGGTTCACTGCAACCTCCGCCTCCCAGGTTCAAGTGATTCTCCTGCCTCAGCCTCCTGAGTAACTGGGACTACCGGCGTGCGCCACCACGCCCAGCTAATTTTTTGTATTTTTAGTAGAGATGGGTTTCAGCAGGTTGGCCAGGATGGTCTCGAACTCCTGACCTCGTGATCTGTCCACCTCGGCCTCCCAAAGTGCTGGGATTATAGACGTGAGCCACCGTGCCCGGCCGGCCATCCATTTTTAATAAGATTCTCCTTGATCTTGATGCCACTGGTCCAAGGAACACACTTTTTTTGTTGTTTTTTTATTGTAGTAAAGTACTCATGATATAATTCGCCATTCTAATCACTTTCCAGTATACAGTCCAGCATGAAGTCCACTCACATTGCTATGGACCACCACCCTCCACTTCCAGAGCTCCTCTTCCCACACTGGAACTTCCTGCCCACTAGACACGAACCCCATTCTCCCCTTGCCCCAGCCCCTGGCAACACCATTCTATTCCCTGTCTCTATCAATTTGACTTCAGATACCTCATATAAGTGCAATCATAAAATATTTGTCTTTTTCGAATGGTTCATTTTGTTAAATACAATGTCTTTAAGGTTCATCTATGTCGTAGCAGCCGTCAGAATTTCTTTTATATTTTATTTTCATTTTTATTTTTTGTGGTGATGGGGTCCTGTTACGTTGCCCAGGCTAGTCTCAAACTCCTGGCCTCAAGCGATTCTCCCACCTCGACCTCCTAAAGTGCTGGGATTACAGGCAAGCACCACTGCACCTGGCCAGAACTTCCTTCCTTTTCAGGCTGAATAATGTTTCATTTTATACGTACTCATCCTTTTATCCATTGATGGACATCTGGGTTGCCTCCACCTCTTAGCTATCATGAATAATGCTGCTATGAATATTTATGTGCAAATCACAGAACACCTTTGTAGTAAAGCTCCTCCCAATAACAAATTTGGAAACTCTCTTAGAATTTGTTGAAGCAATTTTTTCTTGCATTCATGAATCCTCACAGAGGTTAGGCTCAGAATTAGGGTTCATATCCTAATGGGATAAGTTCCTGTCCTAATGGGACTGACGTCGTGGGGGACAGGCTGTGGACCAGTAAGAAAGCAAACGTGGGTGAGCATGTGACAGGAAACCCAGGGTCAGGCAGGAATATCTAAGCCACCCTGCCTGTGGATACTCAGGGGACAGCCAGGACCTGAGGCCAGGCAGGCCTTAGCTTGATGACAGCTTTAGAGAGGAGGTGAAGCCAGATCATCACAGCTGGTGCAAAGGCCGGGAGGCTAGAAAGAGCATGGTGTGTGAGAAGCACTGAGGATTGAGTGGGGTTTCCTTTGGGGTGAGTAGATCATCCTGAAGTATGGGAGCGGAGGAGGGGACCGCTCACCATGCCTGGGGTTTCCCAGGGATGAGGAGGTGGTTGCTCAGGTCTGTGCTGAGATGGCCCCAGCAGCTGTGCCTGTGTGAAGCTCATCCGTGGGGGCTGAAGATGGGGATGGGGTGACAGGGAGCCTGGAGGCAGGGAGGCCAGTAGGCAGTTGGTGGCCTTGGTGAGAGGTGACAGTGGCCCAAACCAGGACCGGGGACTGGAGGTGGGGGAGGAAGGTATCCAGGGGAATTCAGGGTGAAGATGCTCTGAGACTGCTGGCAGCTGGTGAGGGGCCAGGTCCAGGAACACGCCCCGAGCTCTGGCCTCGGGAGGGGTGTGCTGAGTTTGTTGGGGAGCAAAGACAGAAGCCCAGTGAACAAAAGATGGCGAGGAGACCCCAGTGCAGGGAGGCCGAGGGTGCAGAGGCCGAGTGGGGCTGTGCTCAGAAGAGAGGCGGTGCTGGAGGGACAGGGAGAGGTGGCCTGGGTGTTGGGAGGTGGGGGTGAGGTGGGGGCTGAGGGCAGGGGGTCAGGGTGAGGGATAGGAAAGGCCACAGGAGAGGAGAGCAAGAAGAGCTTTGCTGGAGGCGCTGTGGGCAGCATCGTCCTGCTCTCGGGCACTTTGTGTTTTGTGACACATCCTTTCTATGCTGAACTGAGGACCCAGGGACCTCACTGTCCCCATACCTGTCTGTCCAGCTCCAGAGGATGAAGCCGAGGCCACCCAAGCAGTGCCCACCGCGACCCCTGAGCCCCCCATCAAGCCTCGCCTGGGGGAGCTGACCGTGACTGACGCCACCCCCGATTCCCTCAGCCTGTCCTGGACGGTCCCCGAGGGCCAGTTTGACCACTTCCTGGTCCAGTACAGGAATGGGGACGGGCAGCCCAAGGCGGTGAGGGTGCCGGGGCACGAGGACGGGGTCACCATCTCAGGCCTGGAGCCAGACCACAAGTACAAGATGAACCTGTACGGCTTCCACGGTGGCCAGCGCGTGGGTCCCATGTCTGTCATCGGGGTGACGGGTGAGTGGACGGTGGGAGCCACAGGGTGGGAGCTGTGGGAGGGCCACCCTCTTGCTCTTTGGTGATGACTGGTGGGGAATGTGACAGGGGTCTGGTCAGCACCACAGACCTGCTTGTGGCTGGGGCTGGGGCTCCCCTTGGGCCTTCCTGTGAGGTTGACCCCTGGCTCCTCCTGAGCGGAGAGGGGCCGTCGGGAGTTTTGCTGTGCTGGTGGCTGTGCCAGGTCCGCCACAGCTGACCCTGGAACTTGTCATGTGTGTTAGCTGTCAGCTGAGCAGGACCACCCAGCCCCAAGAATGGGCCTCTCTGAACTGACCTCAGGTCCCCCAGTCATAGCCTTGGCTTCTCCCTCATTTTCCCCAGGACCCAAGGACATTCCCCTCACTCTCTCTCTCTCCTTTTCAGTTGCAGAGGAAGAGACCCCCAGCCCCACAGAACCCAGCACGGAGGCCCCAGAGCCCCCTGAGGAGCCACTCCTGGGGGAGCTGACAGTGACAGGATCCTCCCCTGACTCGCTGAGCCTCTCCTGGACCGTCCCCCAGGGCCGCTTCGACTCCTTCACCGTGCAGTACAAGGACAGGGACGGGCGGCCCCAGGTGGTGCGTGTCGGGGGCGAGGAGAGCGAGGTCACTGTGGGGGGCCTGGAGCCCGGGCGCAAGTACAAGATGCACCTGTACGGCCTCCACGAGGGGCGGCGTGTGGGCCCAGTGTCCACTGTGGGCGTCACGGGTGAGTTGGGGGACAGGCCCTCGTCCCCAGGTTTACCTCTGTAGCCCCCTTGTGTTTCTCCTTTGGATCTTGGCACCTCTTATGACTGGGCCTCTAGGTTTCTGTCTTTTCTCCCATGTTGCTAATGATCCTGCCTCATCCTTGGATTCATGGAGACTGTGTGGAGTCAGATGGGCAGGTAGTCCATGCCCTCTTTGTTGTAGCTTCCTTCCTCCCATCGTGATCTGGAACCTCCAGGTTGCTCGTGCTCATTTGTTAGGCTCCCTTAAGGAGTATTTTAGTGGCTCAGAAAATGCTTCAGATTCAGTTGCCCAGATATGCATGTGCTTTCAAATGTAGTGATTGTGCGACTTTGCAGGCGTTTCCTAACCTTCAGATCCCTGCAGAGTTGGGGTGATGATAATAATGGCATCTACTTCATATGTTTTGCAAAGGGTTAAGTGCACCGCTGTTTGTGAGCTGCTTACAGCAATGCAGGGCACAGATTCTAAAGCAAGCGCGCTGTAGAGAAGGCCGCTATGCTCACTCCAGTCCCGGGAGAGCACTGCCTCCCTTGGGCAGGGTCCTGCCTTCTCACCCATGGGCCTGCTCTGCTCTTTTCAGCGCCCCTGCCCACACCGCCGCCCGTGGAGCCCCGCCTGGGGGAGTTGACGGTGGCAGCCGTGACCTCAGACTCAGTGGGCCTCTCGTGGACCGTAGCCCAGGGGCCCTTTGACTCCTTCCTGGTGCAGTACAGGGACACGCAGGGGCAGCCCCAGGCAGTGCCTGTGAGCGGAGACCTCCGAGCGGTCACCGTCTCAGGGCTGGACCCGGCCCGCAAGTACAAGTTCCTGCTCTTTGGACTCCAGAATGGGAAACGCCACGGCCCAGTCCCTGTGGAGGCCAGGACCGGTGAGTGAGGGCTGGAGGCCTCCCGCGGCCAGAGCGTTCGCCCCCTTGTGGCGCCAGTTGGAATTTCACGTTTCTGTGCCCCACACTCCAGTCCTCAGCACCCAATTATTTATTGGGTCCGGGAAAACCCAGGCCCTGAGCTCTCCTCTCCCTCTGACACTCATCCTTCTCCCTACTTTCCCTGCACCCCAGGGGACACTTGCTTTCTTGTCTGGCTCCTCTTTTATCCCTACTCCTGGCCCAGTCACCCTCCCGTTCCTGGGACCGGCTCACAGAGCCATAGCAGCCCAGGAAGCTCCGTGGCCCCTTTGCCTCCATCCGACTCTCCATGTACCTCACTGTCTTTTCCAGCCCCAGACACGAAACTGTCTCCCCGCCTGGGGGAGCTGACTGTGACAGATGCGACCCCTGACTCCGTGGGCCTCTCGTGGACGGTCCCTGAGGGCGAATTCGACTCCTTCGTGGTCCAGTACAAAGATAAGGATGGTCGGCTCCAGGTTGTGCCAGTGGCAGCCGACCAGCGGGAGGTCACAGTCCCAGGCCTGGAGCCCAGTAGGAAATACAAGTTCCTGCTGTATGGTCTGGCAGGCAGGAAGCGAATGGGCCCCATCTCTGCTGACAGCACCACAGGTGAGTCCCAGTCCAGCCTCCACCTTTTCCAGAGCTGCCTCTCATTCAGGCCCTCAGAGCTGGCCCTACGGCCTTCCTGTGAGATTCCCTCTATCAGCCCTGACACAACCATCTTAACTCCGAAAGTGAGTCTCTGTGTGTGTCAGGCACAGTTCTGAAGAAGATGCATTACTTCCTTCATTCGCTGACTGCCGAGGAAATAAAAGGGACACGGGCTTTGGGGCCAGCAGATCTGTGTTCCAGTTCCAGTCCCAGCCCTTGCCAGGGTGACCATGGACAATCCGCTTCATCCCCGGAACCTCGGTGTCCTCACCTGCATAATGGCTGGGAATGGTGCTGGACTCAGTAGTGGTTCCCATCCTCCTCCCTCCTCCCTAACTCGGAGGCCAGGGGTGGAAAAAAAGGGAGAGCTTGGCTACGGAAAGACAATGGAAAAACCTGGTGTCACTGTGCCCGTGACTCAGCCCCCCGAGGAAGGGGTGTGGTGGGTCACTGACCCTCGCCCTACTCCCAGGACCATGAGTCACTATGCCCAGAGGAGGACAGAGCAGCCGGCCAGTCGGGGCCTGGTCCCTGGGACTCCAGAATTCTCTTCCCAAACTCTCACTGTGGGGACGGGGTACAGACTCTCTCTCCACCCCCACCCATCGGCGCCAGCCCCACCCAGGCAAGCCTCCGCTCACCCTCTGTTCGGCCCCATGGGGTCAGTGTGGGGCTGAGGAAGCAGGAGGCATGGATGTTCAGGCTGATGGCCACAAGGGGACAAGGGAGAGGTCACAGCCTGGCACTGATGGGAGCCATGCGTTGGCCAGCTGCCCAGACTAGCTCTCGATGTTTGGGATGTCTCCCTGACAACCCAAGACCTCCTGGGAGTCTCTCTCAGCTCTGGCCTCATTCCTGCTCAGGGGCAGGGGTCAGGGTAAACACAGGCCCTCTCTGCACCCCCAGCCACCCCTCCCTCGGGAGATGATCTTTAATGTATTTACTGCACCCTCGATCACAGTAGGGAAGGAGCAGGGCAGGATGGAGTTTGGGCAGCGGCCTCCAGAGGAGGAGGGGGCTGTTCTCCCTCATTGCTGTGGGGCATGGCGGGAGCAAGCCTGTGTGTCTCCTCAAGGAGCTGTCCCTGGGGCTACACTGGAGGGACCCTTTCCCAGAACCTCACACCTCCAGGAAGCTGCCAGGGCTTAGGCACAGGCAGCATGTGACTAAGAGCTTTCCCTCCTCCCTCTGCACAGCTTCCCTGGAGAAGGAGCCACCTCCCCGCCTAGGGGAACTGACCGTGACCGAGGAGACCTCCAGCTCCCTGCACCTGTCCTGGACGGTAGCCCAGGGCCCCTTTGAATCCTTCGTGGTCCAGTACAGGGACACAGACGGGCAGCCCAGGGCAGTGCCTGTGGCCGCAGACCAGCACACGGTCACCATAGAGGACCTGGAGCCTGGCAAGAAGTACAAATTTCTGCTCTACGGGCTCGTTGGGGGAAAGCGCCTGGGCCCGATCTCCGCCCTGGGAATGACAGGTGAGGCTGCTGTGCTTGGCTATAGCAAGCCACCTTGTGTGGGTTTCCTTGTGCATTTGGGCTGAAGACAAAGATGACTGCAGGAGTGGGCAGGTGGGAGTGGGGCACCCTGGACTGTCCCCAGGAAGGAGGAGGAGTCTGCAGGCTTGTGGGCTTCAATATCCATCAAGGAGTCCAGAGCAGGAGCCAGGCCAGGTGGGAGGGAAAGGCCCTGGCAGGGGCTCCCTCATCTCCCAGCTCCATCTCTGCCCCATCACTGCCACTGCTCCTGATTACTCACTGGGGCAGCTGTCGCCTCCGCGAAGGGTGGCCTTGTCCAGAGAGTGGCAAACCTCCCTGCCATGGATGAGTCAGGAGCATTTTCTTAAGAGGAAAATCACTGGAAAACAAAATGAGCGGGGACACAGAAACCAACAGAAGTGGCCTGCATTTGTGCTACAGGCTCCGCTTCCAGTGCTCACTGATGCCCACCTCAGACAGGCCTGACCAAGGCATGGCTGGCAGGATTTGCCAGTCACCTTTACCAGCCAGTTCCACCCTCAGCTTCTCTCAGAAGGGAGCACCACACTCCCCAAGCTCAGTGAATGTGTCCCGGCGTGGGTGGGGGCGGAGCCCGTGATAGCTCAGGGTGGGCTCGGTAGGACACTGGGGTGTGGAAGGGGGAAGCGAGCACCTGACTCCGACAGCCGGGGAGCTCGCGGGAGTCACGAGGCCACAGCGACTTCATGGTCTGACTGGGCCTGGACCTGTAAACTTCCCACCTCAGCCTTGGGCCAAGCCTGAAAGATAAAAACGGAGGGCCCCACGGCACGCCTCACTCAGATTCTGCCCTGGGCTTTTCCCACGCAGCCCCAGAAGAGGACACGCCAGCCCCAGAGTTAGCCCCAGAGGCCCCTGAGCCTCCTGAAGAGCCCCGCCTAGGGGTGCTGGCCGTGACCGACACAGCCCCAGACTCCATGCGCCTCTCGTGGAGCGTGGCCCAGGGCCCCTTTGATTCCTTCGTGGTCCAGTATGAGGACACGAACGGGCAGCCCCAGGCCTTGCTCGTGGACGGTGACCAGAGCAAGATCCTCATCTCAGGCCTGGAGCCCAGCACCCCCTACAGGTTCCTCCTCTATGGCCTCCATGAAGGGAAGCGCCTGGGGCCCCTCTCAGCTGAGGGCACCACAGGTACCACCAGGCATCTCTGACCTCTAGTCTGGGACTCCGAAGGGAGAAAGGGCTGTGCCTCAGAAGTGGTGGCTGCAGCGGAAAGAGCGTGAAGCCGCGCCGTATCCAGGGAGAGAAGGACGGGTGGGCCTGACGGCGATGGCCTTTAGCGCTTGCCCCCGTAGGGCCCCCCTGTTTGCCCGCCAAGTCCCTTGGCGTTCACGATAGAAGCACCAAACAGGGGCCCAGGGGCCCGCGGGGTGGAAGCGGATGCTGTCTGGGCCACAAGCTGGGGTGTGCTTCTTCTTTTTTTTTTTTTTTTTTTTTCCAATCGCTTCTCTCCACCCTCCATGCCAGGGCCGGCCCTGCTGCCGCCAGACCTCAGGGAGCCGGACCCCGCTGCTCCCCAGCCTGTCTGTGGCTGATGTGCACACCCCAGTTCACTGAGGCTCAACTCGGGAGGCCCCACCTGGGGCTTCGGACTCCTTCCTGCTCCGCTTTGGGGTTCCATCCCAAGGCACTCTTGGAGCGCATCCCCGGTCCTCTGCTGCAGCGCCGGACTGATGGTGCCGGGACGGCCGGCACTCCAGCCGTGCTTCGGACCTGCGTCCGGGGGCGCTGTACAGCCTGACACTGTACTGGGCTGCCGAGGGACCCACAAGGCTGACAGCATCCAGGCACGCTCGCACCTCAGCCGCAGGTAAGGGATTCCACACGCACTCTTTCCCAAGTGGGGTCTTTGTACTAACGGGGGGGACCTGGTGCCTCACCGGCAGTGGGTGGGCGAGTGGTGGTGGCCTGGAGGAATCTGCGAGTCCGACTTCCATTCGGGGACGTAGAGGAAAAGGGGTGCTGGAGCCTGTGCTGGTAGCAGAGGTGAGGGTGGGACTCGTAGGGAGGAGGCCTCCCTGGCCCCTGCACCGCATCATTGCTTCCTTGCCCCCTTGCAGTTCTGAGAGAGCGCCCGTGACCTCGCTTCAGTGAAATCAGGGAGACTCAGCCAAGGTCAACCTGGGATGCCCCCGCCGTCGCGGGCGGACAGCCTCAAAGTCTCATACCAGGCTTGGCGGACGGGAGGTTGGTGGCCTTTGCGTGGCTCATCTGCCTCCTGCGTTCCTGCCCACCCGCACTCTGCCCACTCTCTTTCTGCCGTCTTGTTCCCTGGGTAACCTCGATCCCAATGTTTTTCAGGGGGGAGCCACAGAGCGTGCAGGTGGACGGGCCGGGCCCGGACCCAGGAACTCCAGGGGCTGATTCCCAGGGCGCCTCGCCTCGAGGTGGACCTGTGGTCTCCAGTCCGAGGCTTTTGAGGAGAGTGAGCCTCTCCAGGGCTTCCTCACCACGGGTGAGATGCGACGGGAGCCTGGGCAAGAGTAGGCGGGAGCCAAGAAAATGGGCGTGGGGGTGGAGTTGAGGAGAGAAGGAGGAGGGTGAAAGGGAGGTGGTGGAGGCTCCGATTGCGGACAGCAGGCCGGTGGAGTGCTGGGGAGGCAGGGATAGAGAGACCAGCGGGGACCCTCTGAGCCCTCACCTTCCCCAGTTCCTGACGGCCCCAACCAGTTGCGTGCACTGAACTTGACCAGGGGTTCGCCGTGCTGCACTGGAGCCCCCGCCCAGAATTCCCGTTGAGGCCTATGACGTCCAGGTCACGGCCCCTGGGGGGGTAGCAGGGCTGAGGCCTCCTGGGAGGACTTGTTCCGGGTGGGGATTACAGGGGGGAGACTGACTCTGGCCGGGGGATGGAGGGGAGGCGTTGACGCCCCTCTTCGCACTCCCAGGCCCGCCCTCTGCAGGCCGGGCCCAGGCAGCGCGGTGGACTACCCCCTGCATGACCTCGTCCTGCACACCAACTACACCGCCACTGTGCGCGGCCTGCGGGGCCCCAACCTCACTCCCAGGCAGCATCACCTTCACCACAGGTAGGTCGCTATGGGGTGTGTGGGAAGGGAGAGGAGGCAGAGGGAGCCAGGATGGGCCTCATCCCATCCCTCTTCCGCTTCTCCCTCTAGGGCTAGAGGCCCCTCGGGACTTGGAGGCCAAGGAAGTGACACCCCGCCACAGCCCTGCTCACTTGGACTGAGCCCAAGTCGGCCCACAGGCTACCTGCTCAGCTTCGACACCCTGGGTGGCCGGACCCAGGTGCCCCGGCCCCACTGACCAACTCCCCTCCTGGGTGATTCCAGGAGGTGCTGCCTCTGGGCCTCCCTGGGGACTCCACCTCCCTCTCCCCTGACCTCCCCTTTTGCTGTTCAACGGAGATCCTGCTCCCGGGAGGTTCACCATCTCACCAGCTCCTCGGCCTCTTTCCCTCCACCCCCTACAATGCACGGCTCCAGGCCATGTGGGGCGAGAGCCTCCTGCCGCCCGTGTCCACCTCTTTCACCACCGGTACCTGGACGCACGGGCCGGGGCCGGGGACTGGGTGGGCAGCCACGGTCCAAGACTTGGAAAAGGACTGGCTCCTGCTCTCCTCTCCCCAGGTGGGCTGCGGATCCCCTTCCCCAGGGACTGCGGGGAGGAGATGCAGAACGGAGCCGGTGCCTCCAGGACCACCACCATCTTCCTCAACGGCAACCGCGAGCGGCCCCTGAACGTGTTTTGTGACATGGAGACTGATGGGGGCGGCTGGCTGGTGGGTGGCATTGGGAAACCCAGGGGTCTGTGCAGGGCAGGGGCTGTTGCCCCGGGAGCCAGAGGCTGATGGTGCCCCCACTTGCTTTCCAGGTGTTCCAGCGCCGCATGGATGGACAGACAGACTTCTGGAGGGACTGGGAGGACTATGCCCATGGTTTTGGGAACATCTCTGGGGAGTTCTGGCTGGGTCAGTGCCTCACAGGGACTGGGGAACTACGGATGGGATGGGGGCCCTGTGGACACCAGGACCCTGATGAGGTCATGCCTCCCACCCCCAGGCAACGAGGCTCTGCACAGCCTGACGCAGGCAGGTGACTACTCCATGCGCGTGGACCTGCAGGCTGGGGACGAGGCTGTGTTCGCCCAGTACGACTCCTTCCGCGTAGACTCGGCTGCGGAGTACTACCGCCTCCACCTGGAGGGCTACCACGGCACCGCAGGTAAGCACAGGCTGCGAGGCTGGGAGGGTGAGGCTGGGAGGGGAGGCCCTCATGGCTCCTTCCTCCACCCTGCCCAGGGGACTCCATGAGCTACCACAGCGGCAGTGTCTTCTCTGCCCGTGATCGGGACCCCAACAACTTGCTCATCTCCTGCGCCGTCTCCTACCGAGGGGCCTGGTGGTACAGGAACTGCCACTACGCCAACCTCAACGGGCTCTACGGGAGCACAGTGGACCATCAGGTGAGGGGTGTGGAGGGGGCACAGAGCCGGGGTGGCTGGGGCTCGGCCTGCCTAGGTTTCAGCCCCACAGTGTAACAGGCAAGGGACTGAGCGGCTGGGTGAAACGGAACAATCGTGCCAGCCTCACAGAGGGAGCTGGAGGTGATTTATTGGGTGGAAAGGGCCAGCTCAGGATTAAGCCTCAGTCCTCTGTGGTGGAGGATCAGGAGGGGAGCTGTGTGGGGAGGTTGGTTGAGTGCTCGGAGCCACCTCCTTAAGGGAAACGGGAGAAGCAGATGGGACATCCGGCTTTGACTCTCTTGACAACCCCTTTCCCAGGGAGTGAGCTGGTACCACTGGAAGGGCTTCGAGTTCTCGGTGCCCTTCACGGAGATGAAACTGAGACCAAGAAACTTTCGCTCCCCAGCCGGGGGAGGCTGAGCTGCTGCCCACCTCTCTCGCACCCCAGTATGACTGCCGAGCACTGAGGGGTCGCCCCGAGAGAAGAGCCAGGGGCCTTCACCACCCGGCTGGTGGAGGAAGCCTTCTCCGCCAGCGATCTCGCAGCACTATGTTTACAGTGGGGGGAGGGGTTCGTATGGGAGCAATAAAGGAGAAACTGAGGCACCCGGCTGGCATCGGTCCTGCCCCGTCACTGGCTTTGGCTCAGGCTGTGGGCCCCCAACCCCCGGGGCTGCAGCCGCACTTGGAAAGGCTGCATCTTGAGGATGACACTGCAGTGGGGCAGGGGCTGCAGGGAGGGCAGGGCGTCCCCCGGGGGCAGCAGCGTGAAGGCCTGCAGCAGTCGGGTCAGCACCACGAAGAGCTCCAGGCGCGCCAAGGGCTCTCCCAGGCACACACGCGCCCCGCAGCCGAAGGCCAGCGCTCTTGAGGTCTTGCCTGGCTCCAGGAAGCGATCTGCGGGCGGGTGGACAGGTGGGTGGGGAGGCGCTCAGCGGCTGCGGGGACCAGCCTCCGCCACCATTTCACAGCAGGCCCCTGGCCCCCCACATACCAGGCCAGAACTCATGTGGCCTCTCCCAGACCATCTCATCCAGGTGGGCGCCTTGGAGGTTCGGGATGATGACTGTGCCCTCAGGAATGTCATAGCCGGAGATGCTGAAGGGGGCTGGAGTTAGCGGCCGGCCAGGACCTCGCTGGGATCGGGCTTTCCTCACTCATCCCAACCCTAGGGAGTCACCTGCTGGGCCGTGTGGTGCGGTGGGGCAGGGCCAGGGGCACAACGGGCCGCAGGCGCAGCACCTCGGCAATGGTGGCATTGAGCAAGGGCAGCCGTGCACGGTCCTTGTAGGGGACCCGGGAGCTGGAGGCACCGGGGCCCAGTTGGTGGTCTAGCTCCTCCTGCAGTCGCTGCTGAATCTGGGGAATGATCGGGTGGAGTCCTGTCACAGCAGCCCACAGCTGCCCAGCCTCCAGCCGTTCCCTCAGCGACCCAGTGAGCCTGAGTGAGGAGACCGCGGCCCCTCTGGGCAAGCACAGCCCCAGCCGCACAGTTCTCAGCAGAGCTGAGTGAGGGTGCCCACCACCCTGGCCAGGCTGCTGGGAAGGAGCCTTTTCTTGTCACCAGGGCGCACCTCAGGGTGGTGAAGTAAAAAAACCACAGCCCAGGAGAGAGTGTTTGCGGTGGTCTCAGTGCCACCGATGAGGAGGTCCACTGCAGCCATGTGCACGTGACCTTCCAGGAGCTGTCCAGAGCCCTCCTCCATGCTCGGCTGCGCCACCACCTGGAGCATGTAGTCCATCATGTCCCTCCACTGGCCTGCCACCAAGCTCTCCTGCAGAGGGTGAAAGGAGCGGGCTGAGCAGCTGGCCTGGGAAGAGGAGTACAGAGTGGCAACAGGCCCATAACTGGGGCATGCAAAAGAACCCTCCTAGTAGCAATGCTGAGTCCGGTAGCATCACTGGCTGTGGGCCAAGGGGAGGCCGTCCACACACAGTCCCCACCTTGTGCTGCCTCAGCTGCTTCTCCACGATGTGGTCCCTCTTCTCAATGGCCTGCTTCAGTCTCCGGAGACCTGGATTGGGGAAGAACTGTGGCGGGAAGCATGAGAATGCAGTTATGGGAAGAAGCTTCTCCCTCCACCGCAGCCTCTCCCAACGACCCAGGGGTGTCTAGGCTCCAGGTCCTTACCCTGAGAAAGGGAATCACGTCCACAATTTGGATGGACCAGTGGCTCCAGGTTTTTAACACCTCCTGGATACATTGTAATAGGCCAAGGCCACTAATTTGTCCTCCTGCCGGAAAGGGAGGCCGCTGCTTCAGTTGAGACAGGAGAGCTCCAGGGAGGGGCCATGGGGTTGGCCGCAGGGGCCCTGTGGAGCCCCACCTTGATCTTGCCCCAAAGGGAGGTGAACAGACGATGCTGCCAGGTGAGGAGAGAGAATTCCTCTCCAATGGGCCACAGGGGTCCCGGCCTGGCTCTCATGCGCTGTGGAGAAGGAAACGGGGAGCTCAGCAGGCGGGTGGCTGCAGCGGGCAGGGCGGAGCACTGTCGAGAGGCGAGTTGAACCTTGAGGTGGCCTCGGCCAGCCTTACCTCCAGACTCCTTGGTTCCAGCCTGCCTCCACCACGGCTTCCATGGAGTCCAACGCATGCCCAGCAGCAGGGCCCTGAGCGGTGGGCTTTCCC